TTCCATTGAGGGAGTGCTGTGACAATAGGGGACAGGATGTACGACCCCTCTGTAGGCAGATGCAGGGTTTGTCTTGGCCTGGGGATTATTTACTTACCCTGGTTGCTGGTTAACATCCCTGCCGTATTTACTATTAACTCATCTATTTTGGCAGGTGCAGGGCTGACCCTCAAGCACAAGCGAAGGGAACGGGCAGCTGGGGTGCCTGCATCTGAGGGAGGCTGGTCCCTTTTCGGGTAGCAGGGGAAGAGCAGAATGTCCCTGCCAGACGTACACCCACACGCCAGCAGGGCCTACGGGGGAAGCAGCTCATGTTGGTTTCCCCCACAGACACGGATGCACTCCTGGCAGCTGTGGTCTGCAGCTCTCAAAACCCAGGGCTGTGCAGGTGTGTGTGTGCTGACGTGGGGGACTTCTGCCCCTTTGCCCTCCTGGATTCTATCTCCAGCCCTGCCACTGGCTGCCTATGTGACCGTGCATGTCACTTCGCTCCCCCTCCCGTGCCTCAGTTTCTCCATCTGTAAAGGCAACCAGCCTTGCAGAGAGGGTGGTTGAGGACAAACCCAGCTAGTGCTTGCATGGCATGCAGCCACACACGGATGAAGGAGGCTTTGAGCATTATTTTTAGCTGCATAGCCTGGTGCAGGGCGACACCTGCCCTGCTCTCCACCCACCGTCCGCCACTCCCAGAAAGCACCTCTGGCAGGGAGCCTCTGCTTGTGTGACGCAGCGCGGCGGCTCGCGCTCTGTCCCTGCATCTCAGAACCCTTTGTGCTGGTACCCGTGGCCCCTCCAAGGATTCCAGGCTGGGGCGGGGCGGCTGGGAAGCACAGATCTTCTCTCCTGGCATGAGGAGATCCACTGACTTCCCAGCACTCCTGGGGTGCCGCCGCGGAATGAGGAACAGCCTTAGGACACCATGGCCACCTACGTGGGGAATAATAACCCCAGGCCCAAGCAGGACTGATCGCTAGGTGCTGCCAGTTCGGAGCTCCTGAGCAGTTCCGTGCTCACAGATACCACCACAGGGATGAGATCCAGGGCTGGCGGTCTCTCCTGTCAGCAATTTTCCCGAATAACATGTCTGAAATACGTAACTGGGAGATTACAATCTTTCAACACGAGGTCCCGGGGCAGGGGCGGTGGGCGGGAGTCAGCATTTCACTGATGATATGTCAGTGTTTAAAGAACTCGCATGAGTCTCTGAAGGTTCCCAGCTGTTGCTGCTGTTCTTACTGTTATATCCAGACACAACAAAAACTGGTTTTTTAAAGAAAAGATCTGCCCCCAACATATATTTTTGTGTTGGTTTCTAACACACTGGATTCTATGCCGCAGAGCTGAGGATAGGCAGCACTCGAGAAATCAGGGACGCTGCTAGACTGCGGCAGGGCAGGGCTGCGCCAGGGATCAGGGCATGGCGATGGGGGGAGATGTAAAGGCATGACCAAGCTGGGTAACTGAATGCAATAATGCCAGGCCAGGCTGAGCCAGGGAGAGGGCACAGCGGGGAGATGGGAAAGCAAAAGCAGCTCCTGGAATGTTCCAGGATAGATCTGAGCAGAGAAGATGGGGGTAACCAGGAAGCAGATCATCAGGGAGCTTTTGTAATGCTGCATGACGAGGCTGAATGGGTGAGCAAGAGAAGTGTGAGGCTGGGAAGAGTCAAGGGCATGGCAGGATGGGGATGGAGAGCGGGGATCGTAGCTCATCACACCCTCCCCATCCATTCTGCTGGCTCCTGCTTCTCCATTTTCTGTGTCTTTCCCAATTTTGATGCCTCTTAAAACTTTCTCTCTCCGTCGCTCCAGGATTCGCTCCCCGTATGAGTGGCTCAGCAAGACTCCCCAGCAGCTGGGAGTCCCAGTTCTTGGCTGGTGGTGTCCGCAGACCTGCCAGGACTTGCTGACGACAAGCAAAATTTCTAGGAATGCTGTTTCCCAGTTCAGTGGGGAAAACCTGTGCTACTTGTACTGCTCGCCCACTGGAGCTGGCCGTGAAGATTGTCTGCACAGATCCCTTTGCACAGCTACATGGCAGATTGCATGGCATGTTGGCGGTACCAAGGGGCACCTGAGCCCTGGAAGGGGGATCTTAGGCTATGTCTTCACTACCCGCCGATCCGGCGGGTAGCAATCGGTTTATCGGGGATCGACTTACCGCGTCTCGTGAGGACGCGGTAAAATCGATCCCTGATCGCTCTGCCGTCGACTCCGGAAATCCACCTCGACAAGAGGCGGCAGCGGAGTCGGCGGCAGCGCGGCAGCGGTCGGCTTTCCCCCGTCCTCACCGCCAGGTAAGCCGACCTAAAATACGCAACTTCAGCTACGGTATTCACGTAGCTGAAGTTGCGTATCTTAGGTCGGAACCCCGCTGCAGTGTAGACCTAGCCTTAGGGTAGCACCGGAAAAGCGAACCAGTATTTTGGTTCTGAATTTGCCAACGACTGGGGACGGGCCACACTGTTGCTGTTGTACTGAACGAGTCTCCTCCTCTGTTTCATTCCATGAGACCATGTGCATGGCCTTGCCGGCATCACACCAGCTGGGAAGCTTGTACAGTGGAACGGGACTCTGGACATTTCCAAAGCCAGTTTTCTGGGCTCAAAAGATTCTTCAGAAGGCACAAAATGAGACATCCAGGGATTGCCCGGACTTGATTCTGGGGGCCCCGTTTCATCTCAGTTGGATTCCATCCATACTGCAGAAAAGTGACACTTACTCTTTTTTGTTTGCAGTGTTGTGGCCGTGTTGGCCCTAGGATATTAGCGAGGTGAGGTAGGTGAGGGGATATCTTTTACTGGACCAACTGCTTTCGAGCTTACACCAAGCTCTTGAGCCAGAGTCATCTCCCCTGCTGGTGCACAAAGGCCCACTTGAGGATCCCAGCTCTGCAGGACGAAGGAACCTTGGCTCGACTAGGAAGAGCCGAGCAACATGGGCTTCCTCCAAGATACCCATACCTGACATCGACTGAGGACACCAGGCTGCCCTCTTCCCCGTGCGAGCCCCCAGTGTCCTGATCATTTGCAAAGGACTGGTCCAGACACCTGGGAGCTCCAGATGGAAACGGGGTGTGGGAAGGTCTCAGATGGGCATTACCCAGCTTGGCACCATCCTGATTATGCTTCTTGGGAGGCAAAAACTACAGCAGGGACTTAGACACGCCGCAGGTTCTCCGCCAGCCAGGATTTACACCACGGGCCATGGAGTACATTGTTCCACTGACCCCCAGCGTGGGGGGCTGCCCACCTGGGCTCAGTACAGATTGTAGACTCAGAGGGGCAGGAGCTGTCTAGGTTCACTTACTGGGATTCACACTCATCCCTTTAGACTAGGGCGTGTGTGTGGGGGGACGGGGACGACTCTCGTATCCTGCAGGTGTTCAGCTTCCCCACTTATCAAGCTTATGGGTCCTGAACATCCCCTGGCAGTCACTGGCCTGATGGGGTGATTGTAGGAAGGAAACTCAGCTGCGGTCAGTATAACCAGCGCCATGAGCAACGGCTGCTCCTGCCCCTGCCCCACTGGCAGGGCTTAGCTCCTCCCACCAGGTGGAGACACAGAGCTCCGCCTCCTTGAAGGTACATCATCCTCAGTCCAAGGAAAAGAATCAACATGTATTATTATTTCTCCATTAATATTGCAGTATTTCCAGGTTGGGCCCCTTTGTGCTAGGGGCTGTACAGGCATATGATAAATGGCAGGTCCGTGCACAAAATAGCTGTAGCTGTCTCATCGATAAGAGGCGCACAGAGGCTCTGAGCCAGACATCTGCTCTTGCTTCATCCTTCCCCAGCCCAGAGTCAAAGCTTGTTTCCCACCAGGATAAAGGGGACAGAGAACGGAGCTCTGCAAGGGTCGGTTTAAAAACAGACGCAGGACAACAACAAATCCTTCCCATGATAAATCCTCTAGTGAAGAAACCCAGCAGTGTCTGCCTGACCCTAGAGAAAGGGCGGGGGGCCCTTTAACTCTGATAGCTGGACTGGCCACTTAGAGCAGCTTGCATTCCTCTCTGGGACACAACAGCAATAAACACTGCAGTAAAATCTCACAGCTGGAGGATTTGTGCAATACCATACTGCGTGTCTGGAGGCACAGGAGGGAACATGGATCACCCTGCAGCTCCGAGCCACTCCTCCTTGGACCCGTGTGAGGCAGGACATTGAGGGGGGAGGTGGTCCATTGCGATGGCTTGGAGACTGGCTGCTCCACCGGAGACTTCTCAGCCACGAGAGTTGATTTGCTGTGCCCAGCCTCACAATGCAAGGTTGGAGAACTGTGAGCTTGTTGCTTATGGGCCTGACCCTGTGAGGGGCTGACCAACCTCCTACTTCACTGATATCAATGGGAGCTGAAGGTTCACAGCAACTCATAGGAAGCGCTCAGCACATCCCAGGTTCATGCCCAGAATCAGGAGTCAGGGTTAACACCCCAATGAGATGAATGGAACAAGCCATTCAACTTGCAGGCTTTTTTCAGGCTGCCTGCAGACTCAGGAAAACACCCAGCTATCAACTACACTGGGGTCACATTTTCTCTACAACCATGAAAGCTAGAAACACCCTGTTTTGAAATGTAACCCCTATTAACACAGCCCAGCTTTATGTGCATCCCACAGTGGTTAGACCACGTATAAAGGTTTTATAAGCCTGCTATTGCCTTCAAGCCACTAGAGCTGGTCCTTCAGCTCAGGCTCATACTTTTAGATCCAGAAGCTGTGGGGTCAATCCCTGCTGATGACTCAGCCAGTGGCACACTAGGGGTACTTGGTCCTGCCTCAGCACGGGGGTGGGGGGACGAGGGGTGTGTGTGTGGACTAGATGAATTCTCAAGGGCCCTTCCAGTCCTGCATTTCTATGGATCCTATGATTAACATGCACACTGAGATTCCAGAGCACAGTTTTGCAGCCAGGAGCAGATTCCCTGTCTGCAGACTCGTGGGGAACACCGGCCCCACCCCACCCCCCGCCACTGAGCAGCTTGCCAACCCCTTACCCAGGCAGTTGTGGCCATCGTGCGCCAGGCGGAAGCCGTCGTAGCAGGTGCAGCGATAATTCCCTGGGATGTTGACACAGTCGTGGACGCAGCCAGCGTTGTCGTCCCGCTCGCACTCATCGACGTCTGCACAGAGAGGAGAGAAGCCCGGAGAGTGGTGAGAGACCTGAATCCCTTCCCCAGGCCCATCGCTGTACCTCAGATCAGCTACATGCCTCCTAGGCGGGAGGGGGTTCACTGAGACTTGCTAACTCATTACACGTGATGCTCTTGGTCACCACACTGGCTATGGTCAGGGTGACATGCACGTCCCCTAACATCATACATCCCAGTGTGGGCTAGTGCCACTCACAGGCATTTTGGTGCTGCTTGCCCCAGTTACTCTGAGGCTTCCCCATCACATCATCATGGCAACAATATGGCGGGAAGGGTGGGCATGCCATCACCACTGAGACCAGCTCTGCAGGAGCAAAGCACCATAACCACAGGCCTGTTGTCAGCCTCTGCCAAGAGTCAGCAGGCACAGGATGCAAAACAGAGATCACGCATTCAAACGCAGTCCTAAGGAAGCCATTGGCTCATGACCAACGGAACAAGCCATGCAAAGACAGCGTGACCTTTGCTGTGGGCTCCAAGAGCAAAATCCGCCCCATTCTGCACCAAGTCAGGATAGCTGGGCTTGACACAGGGGGTGTCCGCAGAGGAGTAGCTGATCTGCAGCTGCTCCTGCTGCTAATGCACCATTACTCTGAATGTATAGCCCTGGTCTGCCCCAGCAACCCACGTGCGTGGGGAAAGAGGATGCTCCCATGGAGCTCAGCTCCATGGTGGGCACGGGATGCAAACATCCTGCATGGGGAGTGCTCTTCCCCCACCTCCTTAGCAGGACTCTCGCTGTGGGACAGTAGGGTCCATAGGACAGAATGGGTCACTGAGTAAGCTAGTCTAGTAAAGAACTGGATACGTTTAAAGTAACTCTGTGGAGACAAAACTGCTGGGCTGACCTCTTTGCCAACTTACAGCCGTGACTTCCACGGGATTGCACAGTACATAAAACAACTCCGGATACCCCCCATATAATTAAAAAAACACAAGTCGTTACTTGGGTCACTGAAATCACCTTGGATTCTTAAATCCAGTTTAACCTTCCACTGCTGATGCAGTTTGTGTTTTCTGCATCTCTCTCGGCTGCAACAGCAAGTCTAGCCTGGCCACTTCCGCTTTCTGTTTACAGCCTGTTTTTCACTCTCTTGGTTTGTGTCTCTGTACTAAGGCTGGAACAATAGGAACTGCCACACTGGATCAGATCCAAGGTCCATTCAGCCCAGTATCCCATCTCTGACAGTGGCCAGAACCAACTGCTTCAAAGAAAGTTGTAAGAACCTCACAGATCTCATCCTGGTCTCTAATAATTAGAAGTCAGCTTAAGCCTGAAGCATAAGGCTTAATATCCCTTCCAAATTTTGTCATCACTAATTACGATAAGTCTGGATATGCTTGGTATCCGTGTAAATATCCAATCCTTTCCTGGCTCTTGTTAAATTCTTGGCCTCAGTCTGAGGCTGCTGTGTGTGGGGTAGTGGAAATATAGGGGTCATTTGCATTTTAAAAATTGGTTCTCATTTTCTTTTCTTTTGTTCAACTTCACAACAATGTTTCTCTTCCTATTAAGCTGTGTAGAAATGCATTCCTCCCCTCTCAACAAAACCTAGATTTGGACCTCAGCTGACTGGCTGTTGTCTCTTTAATCTCTTTGTTTGTTTCTCCACCATTCACCATGTCAGTGGAAGCTGAGATACTCCAGAGACGGGCGAGAGTTGGTTCTGGTGCTTAAAGGAATGGGTGTCGTGCTCAAGAGGAAAGCATTACGGAGGGCAACGTAATCAGAGTGCAGGAGAGGAACCTTGTACAATGGTTCCCCATTACTAGTCCATGCCCTCTCGTTTCCAGCAATGGACAGCACTGGGGCTAAATGCGATTACAACAACTAAAAGTGAGGTGCGATTGGGTAGGAACCCTCATCTTTAGAGAAGAGATGGTTTTGTGGCGAAAACACTGAACTCAGACTCCAGAGATCTGGGTTCAGTGCCTGATTCTGCCAGAGACTCCCCACGTGTGAGCTTGGGCAAGTCATTTCATCTCTCTGTTCCTCCACTGCCCAATTGAAAAATGGGAATAACAATACTTCCATTCTTCTACAGTTAGATCGTAAATTGTTGGGGGCAAGGACTGTCTCTTGTGGTGTATAGGTACAGCCCCTAGCACAATGGGGCCCAAGGAGCCACAGTCATGCTCAGACATAACACTTTACACAGCATCTTGTATGGAGTGACCTTTGGCTATTGACCGAGTATCTACCCTTCAGACCCCTCTGGAGGTCCCAGAACTTAGGCTAGAAATGGCTGCAGAAAGTTTCTCAAGATCTTTACATTAGCTTTCCACCAGGTGTCCCTGGCTTGGGGCAGGGAAGATGGATGGTGCCAACAACATAGAGAGATGAAAAAGATGGGAAGGGAAGGTACAGAGATTAAACTTGAATCTCTTCTATGTTGTAATCAGTTATAGAGTCCCGAGGCAAGAATTGCTCAGAGCAGAGAATAGCTACCCCTAGCTTTTCCCCGCTGTCCATCATCACAGTATCTTAGCATCAGCGCCATGTAGAATCAACAGCAATAGTGAAGTCTCTAGCGGACTTCAAGGAGTCTCTGGCACAAGAAGTCATAAATGGATTTCCTGAAATGGCTGAAGATGATTATTAATGCACTCTGTTTCCACAGTGAGGCATCTCTGAGCTTAGACTGTATGTAGATAAACACCTGTCAAGGATGGTCTAGATAATACTTAGTCCTGCCATGAGTGCAGGGGACTGGACTAGATGACCTCTCGAGGTCCCTGCCAGTCCCATGATTCTATGAATCCATCAGCTATTTGTGTCCAGTCTATTCTGATCCCAGAGCGTGATTTCAAATCACGCAAAAAGCTAGGACTATTAAAATTCCAGCCCAACCATTTTATTGTTGCTCTTCATTTCAGTGAAATCATTTTGGAATGGACCTTACCCAGGGGTCACAGAAGAGAGGGTACAGGATTGAGGGGACTGGGCAGAGCGCCAAATGGGTAGTCAATTTCGCTCCTGTGTACTAGTCCTTTTCATGTTTTCAGGGTCTCATGCCCTAGCACAAGGCTGCAGTGTTTGGGTTGCAAACACAGCAGGAAAAGGCTGATTTCTTTAAAACAAAATCCAGTAGATCCTACTAGAATTTAAACAGATACAATCGCGGGAATCTGTCTTTTCCTAAAAGTGTGAGGGTGATGCCACCACGGCTTTGTTTTTACAAATTCCAGATTCAGAGCCAAATTCCACCCTTCGATTAAAAATAAGACCCAGCCTTCTCCTGGCCCAGAACCTGCCATTGCACAGGCTGACCCTGTGCTGGCCAAAACGGGACCTGTAATTCTCCAATGACACAGCTGGTAGCAACAGTGGAAGCTGCAGTAATGTAGACAGGACTGTTTTTAGGACTGTCATCCAATCCAACAGTAGAACTTCATTGGTTAAGAATTGCAGCTTCTCATTTTGGTCTGAGTAGTCAAGGCGACAGTAGTATAAACAGAGCCACTTTGGATTCACTGTCGCTCCTCCACAGCAGCAGCCATGGATTTATGGATGACGTGCCATGGATTTACCAAACCGAACTCTGGATTTGGGCAGGAAAGGACCATAAAGGTGCACAACTGACTGCAGCCGTAGCAGAAAGCTCTCCGGCTTTAAAGAGCCACGTATCGACTTTCACTCCAGCCAGCACAGCACTCACAAAACTTCCAATTGCTAACTCTTTAAGAACACACTCATAGCCTGGGTTGGTTTTTCTCCCAGCTGTGCTCCTTACCTTTGCAATGCTTCCCGTCCCCGGAGTATCCGGACTTGCAGATGCACTTGTAGGATTTGGGGGTGTTCTGGCAGAGGGCGTCAATGTGGCAGTTGTCAGTCCCCTCAACGCATTCGTCAACATCTGTGGAAGAGGAAGAAAGCAAGCGACGTCACGAATCTCTGCACTGCCTGGAGATGCGCTAAAAACACCCAACCTGTCAATACTGCGCCCGCTGCTGCTGATGCTGCTCTGCAGGTGAAATATCAGCCTCAGAGACTGAAATTCTCGGTGTAGCCACTGACTGGGTGCAGCCCGGGCAGCAGCAAGGCAGGCTCGCCACACGCACTGACTGCACCCAATCAATGGGCCTCAGCCGAGCCATGGAGGGAGCCCCGCTAGGGGCGAGCCATCAGTCTCCAGGCCTCCTCCAGCCCTTGGCCTCTGCTGAGACTGCCAACGACTGGCCTGACGCAGCCGGTGCTCAGAGCAGTGGAAAGACTCCCGGTGACTTCACCAGGAGCTGGATCAGGATCAGTACAAACAAGTTCAGCCATGAGCTGTTGGGCTTGGTGCGGGAATCCCCACACAGTCAGAGAGCGCCGCTCCCTCCCCAGCCAGCCTTCTCCCCGGCACAGCCAGAGAGCACCAAGCCCCCACAATGACTAGTGACTAAACTCCCCTGGTCTCCGGAAGCGGGTTCTCAGCCCTGCTGGAGACATTCCACTCTGCCTAGGTCTCCATCCGGCCCCCCTCTCAGCAATGGAGTTTATCCTCACAACCCCTGTGTGAGGCAGGGCTGGTCCATGATCGCCACTGCACACATGAGGCACAGAGCGACTCGGTGACTGGCCCAAGGTCGGACGGTGGCTGAACCAAGAACGGAACCTAGGTCTCCTGTATCCCAGCCTGTGACTTAACCCGTAGCCCATCCTCCTGACTCCTTGCTCCAGAGTGGAGAGCTCCTTCTCCTGCTCTCTCCCCTCAGGTCTCCTCTTGCCAGTCTCCCCCTTCTTCTGCCCCCCAACCCCCCACCCTTTCTATCTCCTTCGCCCACCAACCTGGTCCCCCTTCCCAGCTCCCCCTGCTTAACCTCACTCTCTTCTTCCCTCCCTTTCTCTCCATCCGTCTGCTTCACACGGCCCTCCTCTCCCTGCCTCACCCCCTTTTCGCTCACTGTCTAGAAGGTGTCCACCAGCCCTGTTGCAATTCAGCAACAGCAGCTCCGCTGGCAGGCCATGTACCGATGGCAGGGGATAAGCACCAGGTAGGAGGTGGAGGAAAGGCCTGGCTTCCCTACCACCCCGCACACCCCGGCTCCAGGAGGACGCAGTCTGCTGGCTGCAAAGGTTTAACACAGCAGGAGGCAGAGTTATTGGAGGTTTTAATGACAGTGGCCATTTATAAACAGACAGCCCCTGACTGTGGTTTATGAGTAATAGGCTATTCACCTGGTTCCCTTCTGGCTTTTCACTATGTGGTTCCTAAGGGTATGTCTACACTGCAATTAAACACCCGTCGCTGGTCCATGTCAGGGCCTGTAAAACTGCAGTGTAGACGTTCGGGCTCGGGCTGGTGCCCAGGCTCTGGACCCTGCGAGGTGGGAGGGTGTTTTACGGCAGTGTAGACATACCCTAAGTGAATAAGAGAGTCCTCATGTGCCGCAGCAGGCACGAACATGTCTACGGCTCATGTCTCATTCGTTCAGCTAGAGAGCCACCACTGCCACTCCGGAGGGGGTAATTAGCTCGACTGGTTGACTTTTCAGCCCAGGCCAGGGACTGACAGGTACAGGTCCCACCCCCAATGCTGTAAGCTGGCTGATGAGCTATTGTGGGGTCTTATTCTGGTTTTGCTTCCTTCCCAGGCTGGCTTTCACCCCCGGTTCTCACAAGAGCGAAGGGCACAGAAGCTATGCTGATGAGCAGAATAATGCAGGCGTTTAAAAGGATTGTGATGATGACACAGTCCCTAAAAGGAGAGAGAGTCAGTAGCTGCATCTCTCTCTACCGCCAGGTATTGTACAGATGGCTTCGCACGAGCTAGAGGAATGGTGGGCTGGTTGGGTTAAGGCACGGGACTGAGGCTCAGGAGAGCTCTGTTCGATTCCTGTCTCTGCTACAGACTACCTTTGTGACCCTGGGCAAGTCACTTGACCTCTCTGTGCCTCAGTGTCCCATCTGTACCATGGGGATCATAGTAAGGGTGTTGTCTGGGTAGGTGCATTAATACTTGTGAGGCTCAGACACTACAGTAGGGTGACCAGACAGCAAGTGTGAAAAATTGGGACAGGTGGTGGAGGATAATAGGAGCCTATATAAGAAAAACACCCCAAAATCGGGACTGTCCCTATGAAATTGGGACATCTGGTCACCCTACACTACAGCAATGGGGGCTGTATAAGACATAGGAGAGGGGGATAATAAAATAGGTCTTGACCCACAGCAGGACTGTTCCCTGCAATACACCATCTAGCACACAGGCTCTCAGTTTGGGGGTCGTGACTATTCGGTCCTTCCCAAACGGCTAATCTCAATAGAAAGAGATTGAAACCCACAGATCCCACAGTCTCGCTCAGAAAGCCCAGAGTGGCCGGGATGCTGCAGTCTTCTCTTGGGAGACTATTCCGCTGGCCTGGTAGATCTTTGCTCTCAGGAGATCTGCTGAGCAGACTCCCAAGTGGGGGAAGCCGCCATTCGAAGCGTGAACGTGACCAATGGGAGATATCCCAAGGAGGGAGTCCCACATCGAACAGGAGAAAACCCCAGTTACTCTCTCACACCCTGCCTCTTATTCTCACACTGGCAGGGAGATCACAGGAGCTGTTATTGGGAGGTTTTCACTTGCAAGGCAGAGGGGGCACATGCATGTGTACTGTATAAATATTTACACAATGCATTCAGATTTGTTATCCTACATTAATCATGGCCGGGAGCCACTACTGCAACCCCCGGATCATTAATCACCCATTAGAACCTCACCCAACACACTGGAGACAACAGAAGATTTACAGTCTGGGGTGGGGAAATCGGATCCAACTTTCTGCAGGAAGAGGCACTTCCAGACAGGGTGGAAGAGAGCACGATGCAACGGTTCCATGTCGCCATCGTGGGACTTGATTGCCTTCTTAGACTCAGGGCAGGTCTAGGCTACTGCTTGAGTCGATCTAACTTACGTCGCTCAGGGGTGTGAAAAAGACACACCTCCCCCGACCTACATAAGTTACAGCGATCTAAGCGCTGTCCGCACTGGTGCTGTATCACCGGGAGATGCTCTCTCACGGAGGCGGAGTAATCACACCAATGGGAGAGCGCTCTCCCGTCAGCACAGAGCGTCTTCACCAGTCGCGGTGCAGCTGCCTCGGTGCTGGAGCGCTTCTAGCGTAGACCTGCCCTCAGGTTCTACTTGCTCTGATCAAATTCACCAGGGAGCCCTCTGCTCAAATCCTTCTAGGGCTCGAGGTTAATACAGCCACTCAGTGCACAGAGCGCTCGCGAGGAGAGAAATCAGATTCTTTGTGCCAAAGCTTTTCCGGCTAGTAGCGACCCCTGTCAGACCCGAGCGGTTACCTCATAACTCAGCAACATGGAGACAGCCACATTTTGAGGCGTAACTCATCTGAGCGCATTTGGCCTCGCTGATAGCTCGCACTGGCTGGGCACAAAGAAGGGGCCGGTCCCCACTGTTAAAGCTGTCGGTAGTGAGACGTCCCCAGCTGCAGACTTCCCCTCTGCTCCCCGTTGTCCGTCCCCCCACCAACCGCTGCCACGCGCACTTCACCGATCTGCTGCAATAAAGAGCCGGTGTGCAATGAAAGCTGCCCAGCTTCCCCAGGGATGCTTTCTGGTCACCTCCCTTCCTTTCTAAAGCTGGGATCAAGGCTGTCACCGGCCCCATCTCCCTGCATCCTTCCTCTCATTGCCTTTCCACCCTGGTCTCTGCCCTGCTGCCCATCCCTATTCGCTTACCCTTCTGGGAAGGGGAGTCCTTGCTAGTCCAAACCTTCCACATTCCTGGGATTTCCCACCCCCATATTCCTATGAAACTGTGTAGTTCCAACAGGGCAGCCGCCGCTGCAGACCCTCCAACAATAGGTGAAGATGAAAGGGCTTCCACAGAGCCAAAGACAATGCTGTAGCTTAGAACTAGCATCTACTCCACCGCAGGGAACCCCTCGGACACAGGGGTCTTAGACACAGATGGAAGGGAAGGCGGGTCAGATTCTTTTTCCAGTCATGCTGGTATAACTCCAGGGCAATTCCACTGATTTAAATGTCATTACTCCTGATTTACATGAACGTAGCTGAGTTCGGGATCTGGCCCAAAGTTCCTTACAGTTCTACGGGAGAAATGGGGAAGGTCATTTCCTCCCAAGCAGAGCCAGGCATTTTATTGTGGAAATACACCCCCCTCACCCTGCCCCCAAGGGCGCACGCACCCAACAAGACACGGGCACCACTTTTAAAATTAAAAACGTCTGCAAATAAAAACAAGATGGAAAAACCTGCAAAAGCCCACAAAAGTGTCAAGTTCATCCTTCCCCGAGTCATATTTCCCAGCTCCCGGGAACAGAGCCGAGACTTCCACACAGGATCACACAGAGAACTCCACGACCACATTTCCTAAAGGAGACTAGGGGCTCAGAGAGCTCGCCACGGAACGGGAGCGGCTCCAACCCCTCAGGTATACAGAGCCAGGAACCCGTGGCTCGGGCTGCGGTGAAGGGATCCCAAGTTAAAGGCTAATGGTCGCTGCAGGACACGCAGAGTCCCCCTAACCTTTTCCTTCCGCTTCAACGCTCTTGCTGCTGCCCACACCGATCCGCAGACCTGACATGCTGCCCCTGGGGAGACACAGGACGCCGGAGTCTTATGCAAAGGCCAGAGATGCCCCTTAGTACAGACAAGGGCGTCTTGTGCCCCAACAAACCACCACTGGCACGGGTTGCAAACACTCTCTCAGCCGGTACCACAGAGTTGGGGACCTGCGTGGTGCCTGCTACGAGGGAGAAGGGGAGGATTCACAAGGCTGCAGCTAAAACACTTTTCACTCAAAGAGCCATTCAGTGCAGGAGGAAGCGCTGGAATTACCATAACTCACCATTTGGCATCGCGTCCAGCTGCAATTAGACTTTCAAAGGAATATTCAACTCTATGTAACCTTTTTCATCACATTGAAAGGGATGCTAAGAATAGCAAGACTCAGCACTTAGGCACCGCTGCCATCTTCACAGCACTTTTCAGACACTAACCGATTGTGCCTTGCAGAAGTAGGGAAGCATCAGTTTACAGATGAGGAAACTGAGGCACGGACACAAAGGTCTGGCTTTTCAGAAGTGCTGAGCACTTGGGGTTCCATTGGTCTTCAGCGGCCCCCATGGGTGCTTGAAAGTGCTGGAAATGACTGGCTCAAAAGGTGCACAGGGCGTTCACGGCACAGGCACCCAGATCTCTTTACTCCAAGTCTGATGCTTCAAAGCACAAGATCACCTTGCTCTCCTCCTTCTGAGCACTAGTCACGGACCAGGAGCCCGTGGGCGCTATACAGAGAACAAAAAAGACCTTTGGCCAAAATTTACAAACCCAGGAGGCTAAACTGAGGCTCCCCGATCCATATTTAAACACCTAAGTAAAAGCAGCCTGATTTTCAGAGGCGCTGAGCAACACCAGTTTCCACTGACTTCAGTTGGATTTGTGGGTACTCAGCACTTCCGGAAAGGAGGCCAGTTATGCATAGGCACTTACATCTGGATTTAGGAGCGTAATTTTAGGTACCAGGGCTTGAAAGTTTTGGTATAAGTGACTTGTGGACAGTCACTGAGGGAATCGGAGTCAGAACGGGAATTAGAACACAGGCAGGCATCCGGGAGCAGTCCCCAGACGCTCTCCTTAACAGCTCTCAAGGTAAGACACTTCTTTACCAGTCCTGATAATAAAATCACATTAGCTTTGAAATTTCTAAATATTTAATTTAATTTACTCTGCTTCATTTTCACTCAGCGGGGACAATGAGATCTTCTAGACCAGCGGTTCTCAAACTTTAGCAACCCGGGGACCCCCATTTTGATTTAAAAATTTTCACAAACCCCAAAACCCCACACTCAGCCCCAGGCCCCGCCCCCACTCCACCCGTTCCCTCAAGGCCCCACCTCTGCTCAACCCCTACCTCTTTCCACCACCTCCCCCGAATGCGCCCGGTCCCGTGCAGGAAGCGCTGGGAGGGAGGGGGAAGAGTTGGTCATCGGGGCCTGCAGACCCCCTGGAGTACCCTTACGGACACCCAGGGGTCCACAGACCCCAGTTTGAGAAACGCTGTTCTAGACCATTTTGCTTTCTGATGTTAGTCTGTTTCATGTCCTGATTTCTGGGCACAGGCTCAATTAAAGCTGGTCAAAACCCCATCTCTTTTCTATGAACATTTTCAAACAAAAAATTTTCATTCAAAATTTTGCATTTGAAATTGTTCGATATTTTGTGGGAAATTTTCAATGCGGTTTTCGAAAAGTGAAGATGTTCAAAATACCACATTTTTGGTTCCCCCCCCTTTCTTGTCATTTTTTTCTTTTTTTGCCAGTGAATCCAACTTAATGAACAATGTCTAGGTTTTCCTCCCACGTCTTTTTTTATTTATTTTTAGCATTCTGTAGCTTTTCAAAACATCTCCAAATGTGGAGAAGATACATGTTGGCAAAAGGATAAATGAAAACTTTGCCACTTTGTAACTTTTCCAAAGTTGGAGAAATTTTGAGAAGTTACTGTACGGGGAAAACAAAAACAAACAAACATCGCACTCAAATTCCTCTATACAATTCATTCACTGGCAAAGGAAACCTCCGCTCCCCCTAAAAATCCCATATTTCAGAACATCAAAATCCTGGAAAATTGTTGTTTTTTGAAAACCAAAATGAAACACAAGTTTCAATTTGAAACAAACATTTTTAGTTAACTTCCTTTAAAAAATTGCTCACAAAAAACAACAATGCAACCCTGTTTTTCTGCAGGAAAAAAATGTCAGTTGAAAAATTTTGACAAGCTCTAGGCACGACATTGCTGTTTGCGTTTCCAGCACTTTGGAAGGCAGGAGGGTTTCGATTATTAGACCATCTGAGCAGAATGTTTTCAACATCCCATTGATGTTTCTGTTCATATTTGCTTTTGTAAAATCCTCTCTCTCTCAAATGTAAGACACAACCTATGTGATGCTTCCCCTTGATAAAAGAAAGTCCTTTTAATCTCAGCTCTCAAATCCAGGCTCAGACTTAGGTTTTTTCTAGCATTCTGGGTGAAGGAAGTTCCTGTGTGAAATATCCTTTCCTGACACAGCTAGCACTTGACATTTGACATTTGTTCTGTTTATACAGCACAATGGGGTCCTGGACCATGAGTAGGGCTCATAATTAGGAGCATGAGGAAGGATTTCAACATTTTGGGGTTGAAATGGCTGGAGTCATTTGTTCTTGTGTAGAGTCACTGCTACCTACTTCAACCTAAATGATTAGAAGTGGGTGCTAATTATGGGAACTCAGCTGGAGATCCTATGGGTCTGATTTGCAATGGGGCTGAGCCGCTAGACCTCCAGATGAATTCAAAAATCCATCCAAAAATGGAGGCACCAAGAATTAGTGAATACACATGAGGAGAGAGAGACTATACAGCTCCGTTCCCAGAGGAGCTCTGCCTAGCAGTCCCACACTCTTCTGCGCAGCTCCATCGCCAGGCAAAGCCAGACTTATCAGCCTCATTAGGATGAATTCAGGTGCTGGGTAAATCAGCTGACACAAACTTTCACTATGTGACCGTTCCCAGCCGCGTCTAGACAATTAGAACACAGCAACTCATCTGGACGCCGGCTCAGCCCAGGCTGCAAGACAATTCACTTAGGCCACGTCTACACTATGGGTGCTGTAGCTGTGCCGCTGTAGACACTTCCTCTAGTGACAGAAAGGGTTCTTCCTTTGCCATAGGTAATCCACCTCTCCAAGCAGTGGTGATTAGGTGCACTGAGACACATTTACACCGGGGGTTAGATCGGCACAGCCACAACACACAGGGAGTGCCAGAGTGATGTTGACCTAACTTTTAAGAATAGACCAGGCCTTATTTTGATTGCAAGGAAAACACGGGCACCGCCTATACCAGGCTCTGGGCAAAGAAGTTAAAAATCCAATGCAAAAAAATCACACCAGCACATTCTCCTCCCATCCACTGTCACTGGAACATCTCAGAGACCAGATCAAAACCTCCAACCACCCTGCAAATTCCTGAGAGACAGACCCTCACCCTCAGCCCTCCTCAAACGCCTGCTGAACACGGGCAGACTTTGCAGCTTACCAGCAGGTTGAGACACACAGGCTATTTTGGACCAACATGTGAAGAGTGAATCCCATGGGCCCTCATGGAGAATATCCTGCCAGCAGCTCCCTCTGGGTAGCACTAGTGCCTACACTGATCTTGACCAAGGACTAAATTATTAACACTTATCACTACCAGGCCCACAGTGGGATGGGTCCAAGACTGGTGCCACACTAAGGGGGTGGGGGGGAAGAAGCATTTGTGTACCTGAGGGTGAGGATAAAATTTCTTCTTCACGGTCTCTCTCTCCTCTTTCATGTGGCCAGGTGCTAGTGGACACCCAGCAGCAGCAAAGGGTTCTGGGAAGTGGCAACCATAGCACATGCCTAGGGCACAGCCTGCCCCAAATGGAATTTTGTGGGTCACTCAGGAGGAGAATGGGGCAGTGGAGAAGCAGAAGGAAAAGCTGAGGGGAAGTTATTTGGGGACAGCCCGCACTTTTGAGCACTCTCGGGGCCTCTGCACCCACCAAAGGAGCACAGACATGGCCCCAGAGGGGTGGCCACCGGTCAGAAACAAAAACAAACACCAAGGACAGGGGTTCCTGGAGCAAACAGCCTCAAAGCACTAAGGCAAAAATAAATACAGTAAGAAACTTGGGGTGGGGAAGGCCCCCTGTGCTCACACACCTCTTGAGCCACAGCCCACCCCTTCTCCCTCCCAGCTCCTATTCATGCTGACAGCCCCAACCTCTGTCAGCTGGTAGCTCCCTCCTGCTGCTCCACTCCAAGTACAGAGAGCAAGGGGAGTCTACAGAGTGAGCTCATGACTAGGGGTTGCTGTCTGGACCCATCCCCCTCTGCACTGCTGACCGAGAAATGATCATCTAGTCACTAGTGATTTGGGTGCTAACCTGGGACTTGGGAGATCTGGGCTCAATTCCCTGCTCCATCACAGACTTTGGTCATGTCACTTAGGGCCAAATTTCTTTAGGCACCCAAAGGTACAGATAGCTAGGTGCCGAGTGGGCTTTCCAAAGGGAGTTAGGCACCTAGGCATTTATCTTCACCCTTAGGCACCTAAATACATTTTAAAATCTAGCCTTACGTCTCTGTGCCTCAATTCCTTATCTGCACAGTGAGGACAATAGCTTCTAGGCCTGTCACAAGGAAAACTACATTAGAAATTGCCCGGCACTAAGATACTGCATTAATGGGGACCTTGTAAATACCTAAGCTACCTAGCAAGCTAGAGTGTCTGCTGGCTCTTCATACAGGAGCAGGAAGGTAAGACAGGATGTTGTGCCCTAGGACCATGCTGGCAGATCCAAGGATGTGTGGCATTCCTAAGAAACGGGAGCGCAAGGATCAGTGACCTGGTTAGCAAAGGAAATGCAGACTACTGTAGGCAAAATCAAAACCAGCATTGCCCTCTCTTACGACTGCAAAGATATGAAAAGTGTAAACACCAAGGCCAGAATTTTCAGAAGGGCTCAGTGTCCCCACTTAGTGCTGGATTTTCAAGAGAGCCCAGCTTCCATCTGGG